AAACCAGAGTAAGCAGCGACCAGGTTAAACATCCCCCTAACAGGAAACAAAGAAAAAAGAACAAAGAAAAGAAAAAGAAGGGAAATGAAATAGCAAATAAACACAACAAAAACTAAGAAATAAAAGCAATTTACAAAACTAAAGTGAAGAGCAGGTTAATCTCCAAAGCACGTAGCAAAGTACAACAAACAAATATATAGACAATAAAGGCCCACAGTATGAGCAGCTACAGCTAAAAATAAATCTTACATTTTCTTTCCTCATTCCCATGGACAGCACAGGAAGCTCCCCACAGCACCTTGAGATGAGTCTGTCACTTCTCAGTTTAAAGGAGAGAGAGGGAAAAAAGCAAAATGTTTGTCAGAAAGAAACAGAATTTATGTATAACATAGGCCTTATGGTGGTCTCCAGTACCTGAGTTTTAGTCTTGGCTGGCTATGCTAAGACGTAATTGGGTAGCTCCTTCTTAAAGTGGCGTGCCAAATAAACATGACTCAACTCAAGCACACACCTGCAATTCCAGCCTGGGCTGCATAGCAAGACCCTCTCTAAGAAAAAAAAAAAAAAAAAAGGCTACCAGATTTTGAGTTTCCTGTCTCTTCTTCTGGAATTAAATCCAAAGTTCTTCTCATCTCAAAGAATTGAAAGAAAGAAGCAAAAAGGAAGGGTAAAGTTTATTTGAAAAAAATAAAAGTAAAGAGCCAGGGAGAAACTTGCTGTGCAGATTGAACCTGGGCCAAATGAAAGAGGAAAACACCAGATAAAAGTAAACCCTGGAGGACACAGGATGGGCTATCAGGAGGAAGCCATGATAACTAGCTCTTCGTGGTGTCTGTGGCCTTTGATGCTGTCTAAATCTTGAGATAACCCATGAGAATGTCTATGCATGGGTCCTGACAGGTGGTGCTGGGATCTCGCACCTCAGGTTGACATCAAATCTGGGCTATCCTATTGAAAACCTGCTCCAATTCGTGCAATAATATGTAGGGATTTGTAGACCATTCTGTGCATGTGTCCTGGGATCTTATAATTAACAGATCATACCTGCTTCCTCAGCTGGCTTTGTCATACCCTAATCCATTTTACTTCTATTTAAATCTGAAAACAACTTTTTGGATGATCACTCTTGCAAAGAAAAAAAAAAACACTTAATTTTTTTTTCCTTAAAATTAACACTACTTTGCTTTGGTCATGATTTTTTTTCTTTTTAATATATTTAGTATAGGGTCTCACTATGTAGCTTGGACTCATAGTGATCCTCTTGTCTCAGCCTCCTAGTGCTGGGATTACAGGCCTGTGCCACCATGGCTGTGCGAGGAGCTGGTGCAGCATGTGGTGCCCAGGATAGAACCTGGTCCCTGTGCTTGCCCAAGCAGGCACTTAGTCTGCTGAGCTATCTAGTTGGCCATTAGTCATGAATTAGAAAAGTTAGTAAAGCAAATATAATGCGCTTTTGTCAACTAACCGGTGTCAGCCAAAATCAGATATAATTTTTCTAAAAGTAAACTTTTTTTGTTTAATTTAAATAAAGGTTATGCATTTACTTTAGTTAACATTTCATATATTGAAATGTATTGGGCTAGCAAGAGAGCTCAGCGGTCTAATGCGCCTGCGTAGGTAAGCTTAGGCAAGTATGCAGGAACCGCGGTTCAGCCCCCAGCACCACATGCCTGGCAGTCCTCCACTCCTAGGGTGGGCTGAGATGGCCACAAAAAGACAAACAAAAAGTATTAATGCTGTTGAATAGAAATTAACTAATACTATAGGGCAAAGTATTAATGAAATTATAGTTTTAGGTATACTTTACAGGAGATTTTTTTAAATACCACTTTCATACTGAGTGTCATGTAGATAATCGTTATTATACCCATCTGTTCATTTTGTGATCACTTTAATATACCTACAGATGCATTTTAATTTTGTTATTGTGAAGGTCAAACAATATTAATGAAATTATAGCCTAAAATACAATTTTAAAAAAACTTTTAAAAGTGTCCTTTTCTTACCACATGTGGGGCCAGACCTTCCCCTGGGAGCTCTGAGCAGGCCACCAGACCATGCCTATAATCCCAGCGTTGGGGAGGCCGAGAACAGGAGGCTCACTACTGAGCCCGAGCTGTGTAGTGAGACCCTGTACCAAATATATATATATTTTTAAAAGTAACCTTTTCTTTTTGGGTGGCATGTACATAATCATAATAATGATTATACTAATGTGTTCATTTTATGATCACTTTAAGAACCCTTTGAGTTAAATTTAATTTTGTTATTTGTAATAAATTAAGTAAGTTTATCTCTGTATTATAAAACCTGTGCCCTCTTTTTGCTTGGTAACATAATTCTAGGAAGAATGTGAGATAGTCACATGGATTTTATTTTGTACTGAAACAGATAATTTATTTTCTTGTTCTTGTTGCTTCTTAAAAGATTATTTTGCACACATGTAGGAAGGTAAAAATTGCATCCTGGCTATATCTCACTTCAAAAACTAATAATAGTTTCAACTTACTTATTATGATTCTCCTACTTTAAAGGACTAGAGATCTATAACAACATTGCTCCAGGGGCATCTTTGCTCATGCTGCATCATCTTTTTCAAAGCTCCAAGCAATCACTTGTGGAGCCCTAGTATTGCGTAGAGCCCCATTTGAGAAACTCTGCATGAGGGACTTGGGTAAGAAATAGTAAAGAATTTGGCCCTCTTTGCAAAATAATATTAGTAATTACAACTTTTACAACTTACAACTATATGTTCTGTCAACATATTATTCATAAGTTATGTTATCCATAAGGATACACTATTTATATAGTTAGGAAACACTGTGTAAAAGAACACATAAAATATGTTATGTTATAACATATGGCTATGTTAAAAAAAAAGACAATGGATATGCCAAATAAAACATATTAGACCAAAGTTCAGTAGTCAAAAGAACGGGCATAAACGAAGCACCCTGAAAGATACAGGCCCAAGTTAGGAGTAAAGGATATGGGTGAATTGTGAAGGCCTTGAACTAAGGAAGAAAGTGGTCTTGAAAATCCCTTAAGAATTTGAGGAAGTAATGTAGCTGATGAGACTGATTAAGAGAAAATAAATTAAAGGAAGAATTTAGAAGTAGACAGGCAAGTACAGACATTGTAATAATTTATGTAAATGGAAATGAGTTCCAGACAAGAATGGTGGCAACAGAAATTAAAAAATGAAATGGGTATGAAAAACATGATTTTAGAGTTAATGATATCTCAGATCAATCCAACAATAAGCAAATTTTTAGTAATGGTTATGATATTTTAATTCTTAGAAATATTAGAATTATGGGCTTCAGTGATACATTTTGGAAGTCCTGGAAGGTTGAATTATTTTTTAAGACTCACTTGTGAGTCTTCTTTCTTGGCTTTGTACCCTTACACTATCTCTGTCATGTCATGCAAGAATATAGACCCAACAGTCTCAGATCTTTATATTTTTCCAGAAAAGTTAGAAATCCCACTACTCTATGGAATATTCTTGTATTAAACATCAACAGCTATTTTTTGTTGAATAAATTGCATTGTAAATGTGATATTGTTGCCAATTTGCAACATTTGTCTGGAATTCTGTATACAGTCTTTTTTTAAAACCTGTGTCAGAGATCAAACACTGCTTTCTGCCTGCTAGGAAAGTGCACTGTCAGTGAGCTAAACCTTCAACCCTTTATGTGCTGCTTTCTGAAATCACCTTGAAAGGTATCTAAGACAAAAAAAGAATCCCTCTTTGAAGTCTGTATCATTCCTTGTTAGCAGGAAGTTCACAGGAAGATATTTTTAATTTTAGCTCATATTTTTTCTTTACTGTAATATTGGCTTAAAAGTTACAAGCCTTTCTCTGCTTCTTCCCAGCCAGGTCTCTAGATAAACTCTATAACTTTGCTGATTGCTCTGGACTCCACCTGATCTTTGCTCTAAACGCATTGCGTCGTAATCCCAATAACTCCTGGAACAGTTCTAGTGCTCTGAGTCTGTTGAAGTACAGCGCCAGCAAAAAGTACAACATTTCTTGGGAACTGGGTAATGGTAAGTAATGATGTTATTTCCTCTAAATTAACAAGGTAAAAGGGTGAGGTGATAAAATGGCTTGGGATAACGTCTGTGAGGTTGTCTCTAGTACACTGGCCCAGAACACATTTGGGATGTTTGGCCACCGATTTGATTCTCCACACAGTAGAAGACTATCTAGTGGACTCCAGTAGCCTTAGTGAATTCACATTATTTGTATCTATAGTTATCCATTCCAAATATAGGGAAGATGCCACAGAATAGAGAAAGCATAGTGATTTATTAGTAGCAAATAAATGTTAAGCCAGACACAGGCCCTTTGTATAGCCTGAGCTTCATTGTATAATGTGTTTTCTATGGAAAATCTATCCTGCCAGATGATTTTCTAAAATAATAATTTGAAAGAGCTCTGATCAAATATATTACAGAGATGCTATATGATATATGAACCTTGTGAAGGTTCAAAATCCACACTAGCATATAAAAACTCTGAGAAATTCTGCTGCAAAGATATCTGTTCAACATTTTTCATTCTAGCATTTCTTAATGCACTTGGCCAAAGCTTGTTTCAGGGGTGTGCAATGTCTGCAGTCACATAGGACCCAAGTCCTAAAACCCAAGCTTGGTTTACTCTTCTTCTGTTTTAATCTTGAAATTCTTAGGGGCCAGGGAGATAGCACAGTGGCATAAGCGCCTGCCTATCATGCACATAAACACAAGGTCCCAAGTTCGATCCCCCATGCTGCAAGAAAAAAACACCAAAAAAACAAACCTCTAAGAAGGAGCAGGCAGCAAGCTCAGTGATCTAAGTTCTTGCCAGTGCAAAGAACGCTGCTCCTTGCTGGCCACTGAAGCCAGGCATGTAGCATATGCCTATAATCCCAGCCCTGGGGAGGTTTAGACATGAGGATCACTATGAGTCCAAACTGTGTAGCGAGACTCTGTACCAAATATATGTACATACTTACGCACATACATACATCTTTTTTTTTCTTTTTTTGTAGAACCGGGGATTGAACTCAGACACTTGCACTTGCCAGGCAAGTGCTTATTCTACTGAGCTATCTTCCTGGCCCCATAATACAACTTAAAAAAAAAATTCTTAGTAAATATTTAAAAAAGCTTCAGGGGGTCCTGCCCATTAGCTCAGGTGTTTAAGTGCCTGCTGAAACAAAGCAGTCAAGCTCAGGATGCTGTGGTTCGATCCCCTCATCCTCAAGCCAAACCAGACCTGCTCTGAAGGCATCCTGAGTGGCCCCACACACAAAAAAAAGATTCAGGCTTTCATCTTGCATGAAATCCTGAAAATCATGTATGATGTGTGTGTGTGTGTGTGTGTGTGTGTGTGTGTGCGTGTCTGTCTGTCTGTCTGTCTGTCTGTCTGTCTGTCTGTCTGTCTGAAAGCAGCATCTACCATTATTTCCATAGAACATTAGTCCATGGCAGTTTAGATAAACATTTCCTGAACAATGGTATTTTATCAATGATATTTATTTATGTATGATATGTATGCTATTCTGTAGATTCCATGACTGCAATGTTGGGCATAGTTAAAATTTAGGGTAGTACAAATCTGAAAATTTTCTGATTATCTAAATTTTGATTTACCTTTTGGTACATCTTAGAACAAAATAACTGAATTTATAAACATTGTCTTCTCTTAAAATTGTAGTTGCAAATTGATTTTAAAATCTTAACCCATGGATTTGTAAGTCTGTAGCTAGCCCATATTTGTTTGGAGCATTATAGTTGTATGTACATGTGCACACGCAATTGTATTCATACATGTACTTATTACATTCTGAAATTTAAAATTTTCATAATAATATGGCAAAGTAGGAGGGTGTTGTAAGAATAATTGCCCTTCTTATGAGTAGCCATTAATTGGAAAGTAACTTTTGTTTTCCTTCCTCTTACACTGCTTTACTCTTTCTTATTGAATGAAGGAATTTTTTACATCTTATTTTATTTTTTAAAGTATAGAATTCCATAAGTTATGGTATATTCACACAGTTTACAACCTTCCTTACAATAAATTTCAGAACATATTTATACCTCACAAATAAATCTTCATTAGTCTCAGTTGTAAGCAACCATTTTTGTCTCTATTGGTTTTTTCTTTTTTTAAACTTATTTTTAATTTTATTTTGAAGAGTAAAAGTAAATACAAACAAGGACAGAAACAGAATAACAAACAACAATACATATGGTACAGAATTTCACAACTAGAATAAAAATTTAACAATGGTTGTTGTATTACATATTTTCATCATAAAATCTGTTGTTCAAATTAATAGATAAAGGTATGTAAGACTGGTCTAATAATTCAACAATAACGTTTAATTCAAGAAACCTAATTATTTTCTTGTCCTTTTTTACTTTTTAAAAAAATTTTATTTTAAAGAGAATATGCCAATTGATAAGACATTAGAAACAGTACACATTTAGAAGAATAAGATGAGAGGTATTCAGCCATGGTTTTTGTATTGCATTTGGCTGTCTTTGATGTAGTTGCTCAGATTATAGGTATTATCATATAGAGTTCGTCAAAGTGAAAATTTTAAACATTAACTACTACTTTTTAAAAAGTGATGGAAATGAGAACCACAATCATCATGAATGTGTACTTGCAGGATTTTTCCTCCTTACTTTTTTTTCCTTTCCCTCTTCTTTATCTTTTATTCCCTATGTTCAGTTTCTTTCCATTTTACTATATCTACTATTCTTTTCAGATCTTATTTATTCTTTCAGGTTCTTACACTAGGGAGACAATACAATATTTACACATATGGGTCTGATTTCACTTATAATTATAGCCTCTATTTGCATCCATTTACCTATAAAGACCTCAAGTTTGTCTTTCTTTATAGCTGATATTTTATTGGATAAAATACCACGTCTTTTTTATACATTACTCATGTAATGGGCATTTTTGTTATTTCCAAGATTTAGCTATGACAAATTATGCTGCTATAAACATGGTCGCAAATATATCACAGTGGTACAATGTTTCTAGTTTTTTTGGAAAAATACACATAAAGGGAATAGCTGGGTTGAAATGCCTTCCAACCTAGTTTTTGGAGGAGTTTCCACACTGAATTTCATAGTGGTTATACCACTCTACACTCACACCAACAGTGGAAAAGGGTTCCTTTTTCCCTACAGCCTCTCCAGCATTTGTTATTAGTTGACTTCTTTATGATAGCTCTTCTTTCTGGTTCTAAGGGTTTTATTGACATGAACATTTTCAATTTTGAAAATCTAAAACAAAATTTTATAACAAAATAATAAAAGATAAACAAGTGTTAATATACTCTATCATTATCTTCAAAGTAGCTACTGAGAGACACAAAGATTCTCTCTTATAAAGAAAAAACAATGGATAATAATATAAAACTTTCTTTTCAATTAACTGGAGAAACTAGTAGTATAAATGAAATAAATTAGCATATATCTTACAACATTTTTGAAACAATGAAATAAGCAGTTTGGGGACTCATTTGAACTTCTGCTTACTTCCTATTTGTCCATCTCCTATTTCTCTCTCTCTCTCTCTCTCTCTCTCTCTCTCTCTCTCTCTCTCTCTCTCTCTCTGTATAAATATAAGACAAGCCATGAATTATTTAGACTCATACGTCTAACATATTGCACTTATCATTAGTGTTCTCATGTTGCATCCTTTTACATATGAATACCTCAATTTTATCTTTCTGTTGGTGCAATAGTATTCCATTGCACTTAGGTACCAAGTTTTCTTTATCCTGCTGATGGACATGTATGCTGTTTTCAAGATCTAGCTATTATAAATTGTGTTGTTATATACATAGATATATATTTTTCTGTATTATGATCATTTTTTGTTAATTTTATTGAGAAAGAAATAGTAAGAGTTTCCAAACAGGTTAGTAGGACAGTTACAGAAATTAATACATTGCATATTGTTATGTTTGTAGTATTCAGAGTACTAGATGCAGATATGATATCTTGACTAAACACTATTAGTGTAAATCTCTCTTCTCACTGAACTAAGAGAAAGTAGCTGTATATCTATCCTATTTTGCATAAAGATATATATGTATTTTTTTCACTACAAAATGGTCCTTCATTTCCATCACCCTTTTTTGTTTAGTTTTGTGAGAGATTGGTGTTCTATTGCCATTCACATATTGTAGGTACATGAATTCAGCAAAATAATTGAATATAATCCAATAGTCCATAATAGTAGTGGGTTATCCACAGAACTGACAATGTCAGAAGTTGTTAATTTAGCCTTCCACAGCTCAGCATATTAATATGGCTTTACTTTTTATAGCTCATGTTTATACTTTTCAACTGGATAGTTAAGACCAAGATAGAGCAAGACCTATATAACAAAAATTGTAACTTTTGTATCTGATAAGTTCAGTCAAATCTTTACCCTGAAGCCTTGTACAGCAGTTTGTAGATCTTTTGTCCATGTCAGCCATCTGGATGAGTCACAGCTATTGCTTGACCAATTTGCTCTCTGTGAAAGCCTGAGAGAATATTTTCTCTCTAGGTGACTCTCCTTAAGACCACTATACATTATTGATCACTTTCCTCTGTGGCCCCATAATCTCCTTGAACAAAAAATTGGTACACCACTGTGTTTCAGAACGTTACAGTACAGGTTCTCTTATGTCCTGGGTTCTTAGAGGGAAATTTATAGCTGTGAACTCACACATTAGGAAAAAGAATGGGAACAAATAAATACCCTAATGCCAATGAGGCCACTAAGCTTAAGAGTAGACCTTCAGGACTGCAGTGAACCTTGAGACTCTGCAAGCTCACTGCCAGGATGATGCATGGGGTGCCTTCCACCATGCAGCCAGTCATGGCCAAGATATAGGAACTTGCAGATGCAGTGAGGGCTCAGCTTGAAGAGAAGGAAAATCAGAAGTACTCAGCTTTCAAGACCATGTCCTTCAAGTGCCAGATAGTGGCTGGGACCAACTACTTCATCAAGGTGGACACTGGGGTCAAGAATTTCTTGCATTTGT